TAAACACAAAACTGTCTACTTGTGTGCACTGGATTGAACCCTGGTATGCTAGTAATTTGACATGTTATTTCTAACCCATAAGCCACAGAAAGTGTATAGTTAGTGAAATTGGTCATTCATGAATGTGTTTCATTTTGCCTTATGAAAATGTCTCTGTTATTAGATATCACCAGACATTAGGCTATACTTTTTAATAGTTTCATTAAATTTTGTACTGCATGAATATTTTCCACAAATGTGGCACTGCAGACAAACTATACCATTAGTCTTGGTAGGTAGCTGGTCTAGGAGTGAGGCTGCAATGTGCAGTCAGGAACACTGAGTCTTTGATCCAGTAGCTTCTCTTGCATGCTTTGTTCTGAGTGAGTGGGTGTTATCTTTCCATTAGATAAAATGAGGCAATCAGAGAGGGATCATGCTGCATGTGCAAACATATGGTCTCTACATTACTCTCAGGCTCTGTGTTGGGAAGAAGAAGAAGTTCCTCCTTGGCTGTAATTGATCCTGAAATATCACATGATCTGTGATTTCACAGCACTCTGTAAGGCTATCATCTGAATAGAAGAAAACGTATCAACAAACAAAACTATAATCATCCAGATTTGTTTATATAAATATTCAGTCTTGCTATTTTGTTAGTTCCTTACATGTAGGATTTTTTTTTCTTTTTCAGAAACTTTGGATGAGCAAACTGCAGAGGGAAGGCCACCAAAAGCTATTTCACTATACAGTTTAGGTATAGGAGGGAAACAAGAGAATGGTGACAATAATGAAGAAGCCAAGCATGGTTATCTAGAAAAAGATAGTGATCAGGAAGAAGAAGATAGTTATAAAAAAGAAGAAGACAGTGATCAGGTAGAAGAAAATGGTGATCAGGAAGTAGAAGATAGAAGTGATCAGGAAGAACATGGTAGTAACAAGGAAGAAGATGATAGTAATGAGGAAGAAGATAGTGATCAGGAAGAAGATGATGATGACCACGAAGAAGAAGGTGGTAATCAAGTAGAAGATCATGGTGATCAGGAAGAAGAAAATGGTGATCAGGAAGAAAAACATGGTGATCAGGAAAAAAAATGTTATTGTGATCAAGAAAAGGAAAACTTCAGCCAATCAGGAGATATTTTTTCAAGACTGCAGTGTGCAGAAATCACAGCTCTCAGGAATCAAATGCGTTTTGGCAGTTCATTAGAACGGAGAAGAGCAATAATTAAATTGCATTTTTCAAATCACATCACTAGGAAATCAAACTGTAAACCTTGTGGAATATCACTGTTTAATGGGGCACCCACCAGGGAATTATTACCTAATCCTACCAGAGTAGTACCGTGCACAAACCAGACAGTTTTAATAGAAAATAGAAAAATGAAGTTTTTAAAACTGATTTCTGCATGTAGATTGTTCTTAGCAAGACCAGACTGTCTTGAAAATCTACTGAAAAATTATAGAGATTTATTGGTCAGTACGGGAGCATACAGCTTGGTGCATAAGGCTCTGAGGTACACCTTGTATGTGGGACTACGTCATGACTTGTGGCCTGAGGCAGCTGTGCACAGAGATTCAAGTTCCCAGAAACATGTCATGGTGTTCTTATCTGAGAACAAGTTCAAGGCCTACAAGTTTAGCACACGCAGTACTCATGAATTTGCTAGAGTACCTGAAGATTTTCATGATAACATTCATAATGGTAGGATAGCAGTGTTTGACAATACTTTATATTTTATGTATGAGGACACAGATAAAGGTATTATATTTAGAATGCTCACAAAACAGAAGGAGTGGACACTTGTCAATTACAGAGGTCTAAATGCATGTAGTAGGAAAATGTTACTGGCACATGGTAGCTACATTTATGATTTCAAAGCTGAAAACAATAATTTTGTCCTTTCTCGCTATTCTTGTATCCATGGTGATATTAGAGATTGGAAGAAGAAAATTCATGTTGGTAAAACAGTCGGACACTGTCTTGTCAGATTTCACCAGTACATAGTGGTGTTTGGTACAAAAAAGAATGTTGTCACTGCTCATTATTTTAATACAGAAACTAAGAAAATAGAAATATGTAACACATCAATGGCTGGGACATCTCATGGTATGAAGAGTTTCGCCTGTGGTGAGGATGTTTATATTTTACAGAGAAACGGCTCCCTGTGGAAAATTTTTAGCACAGAGACGATTTCTATAAACTTTGAGCAGGTCTGTGAAATCTGGGGCTTTAACTGTAAACTCAGAGGCTGTGTGCTCTATAGAAAACAGCTCTATATAACTTTTGTAAACTCAGAGGCTGTGTGCTCTATAGAAAACAGCTCTATATCTTTTGTGATAATAAGAATCAGCTGCTCTTTGGCAAATTGCGGTCATCAGTAATTGGAATATGTGATGGCATCAAGGTGATACAGATCAACAAACACTGTGTGCCTATGGTTTTACCTCAATCCTGGCTTAACTAGGTATCCCCTTTCTTCTGGCTTGTTTTTTTTTTTTTACTGATTACATTTGTGAGAAGTAATACTAGTAGTTAGCGTTTGGTGTTTTTATTTACTGTAAACATTTGAGAGAAGTAATACTAGCAGTTAGCGGATAGTGTTTTATTTACTGAACACCTTTAGAGAGGTAATACTAGTAGTTAGCCGATGGTGTTTTATATACTGAACACATTTTAGAGAGGTAATACTAGTAAGCGGTTGATATTTTTATTTACTGAACACATTCTGGAAAAGTAGAAGTTAGCGGTTGATGTTTTTATTTACTGAACACATGTGGGAAAAATGATACTTGTAGTTATCTAGTGAGGTTTTTTTTTTGGTGTTTAGTTTTTAATTTTTATTTAAGTTATTTAATTTGGCTTCAGTGAATTAAATATAGATTGCTTATTTCAATTGTTGTTTTTTTTTTTTTCATCCTCTTAATTTAAACATTGATGCTAATTTAATTTTTTTTTAATGTTTTCTAACAAACATTCAAATATTACAAGCATATGTTCAAATGAGGGCTATTCTAAAATCAACCTTCTATTGGCTGGTAAAAACAGACCATTTACTTTAGCAATACCTTTAATTTCTTGCATGATTTAGTAGCCTTTTAGCTCACCACACACCAACCTGCAGTCGCATTTGTTCAGTGATTTCTGAACTGTGAAAGAATAAATGACTGGGGACGAGACATATGTTCACTTCATGAATGGAGAGATAAAATAACAGTCTAAACAGTGGATGCATAGTGTCAAAACAAGCTGAAAAACAGTGAAAGAAACATTTTCACAATGAAATATGATGGTCACAGTGTTCTGGGGCCACAAAGGCATTTTGTTGACAGAATTCACGAAACTAAGGATCATTACAATATCATAAGTTTATTGTGAAACACAGAAGAAGCTTCAGGAGCTGATCCAAAACAAAAGACGGGGAATACTCACAAGTCGCATCGTTATCTTGCCTGACAACATGTGGCCCCGCATTAAGTTAGTGGGAAACTTTCAGACACCACTTCCCCACCACCACTTTTTTGTTTTTAAACAGCAGTACAGAAGGATCATCAGAACTGGGAATGTTAGCCTTCTGCATTAAAAAAATAAATTTCACAGCTGACAGGACAGACATTGACAGTGTCCATGTTTTTTCTTTCAAGGTTCATGAACCACTGAACAAATGCAGCTGTAGGCCGGTGTGTAGTGAGCTAAAGGGCAGGCTACTGAATGATGCAAGCAATTATTTGTAAACAGCCAATCAGAGGTTAATACTGGAATAACACTCGTACATTCAATAACACATACAATTATACATATGAATGAACATACACTATATACTTTCACTCACATACTTATAGTACATAAAACACACATACAAACTATGCAAACATACATACAGCAACATATGGTAGATCAATAAATAGCTATACATATGGATGAACATATACTTTCACTCACATACTTATAGTACATAAAACACACATACAAACTATGCAAACATACGTACAGCAACATATGGTAGATCAATAGCTAGACCTTTACTTGCTTGCCAGTTATGAAAATAGGGTGACTGAGGAAACAAAAAAAACTGAGGCATGAATGAACACAAAATGTAATGTAGAAACCGGACTGAAAGAAAGACAGGTGCATACACAAAAGGTGCTTTAAATGGTGTCTTTATTCACAGGTAAATTACAACCTCAGCTAAATTATTCATGATTCAAAACATATAATTTTTTGTAATAATCTTGTAAAAAAAAAAATCCTGGGCGATTAAACTAAAAGCAAGGAATACATTTCTTAAAGCATCAGAAAAGAGGCTGTACAGAGATTTCATTATGCAATCACACATAATTTTATAGCACTGAAATAATCTATCATTTTATCTTATAATCTGTCTTTTATGATGGTGAATGCAACAAATTTAAAGTCATTTACAACAACAATACTTAAGTTCTGGAACTGTTTATAAATCTCTCAACCTCCAGTGATAATTATATAAGCTTGTCAAATCTCAGATTATTAAAAGTATGAGGTTAGTGGCAGACCTTAAAAAATAAGAGGGGCTCACAAGAATTACAGGATAATTCTGATTTAAATGAGTCATTGTTTAATGTTCCATGCATTTTTTGCAGTTCTGAACCACATCTCTGAAGCCTTGAATGATTTTTATTGGTTTGTTTACCTAAAGGCCAAGATTCACAACGATTCTATAAAAAATGTAGCATTTCCTTTGTTTTATTACTAAAAATGCAGCACTTTCCCTACTAAATGTGATACATCTTCCACCCTATATTATCCATGCACATAGATACTTAAACTCTCACATTTGTCCAAAATTAATACAATTGACAATGTGAGTACATGGATCAACTATGATCCACCTCTTTGATACTATCATGACTACCAGCTGATCACTATTTTTAACTTTCCACAACCACTGTTTTTTATATTAGTCTGTAGTTTCTTCTGATAATATCATATACACAAAATATTTAAAATTTATAAATAATATCTTTAACAGTGGCCATACAAGCTAGTGTTTCCGCTTTTTCCAAGCATTTTTCCAAATGTTGCTGAAACAGACTGTGGAATGAAAGCGGTAGTAGATTCCCAAAGGGACGCTGATATGTGTGAAAATTGCCCAAGCTTCTACGCCGTAAAACTCCACCTGTGTGGGAATAGAGAAAAATATTATGATATTTATGTGAATGTTCTGAAAGGAGAAATAATTTAAATATCTTAAGTCTACATTCCATGAATAACTACACCTATGGAATAGTAAACAACCTTGGATAGTAAACACTATATATATGCTGTCACAGCTCAGGGGTGGGGTGGCTCCTCAAAATGCCTAAGGTTTTTCAACGGAGCGTAGGCCCTCAACAAACTCATGCCTTGGCATGGGACAGGCCACAAATTGATGCGCGAGTGTAAACAGTTTTTCCTGTGTAGATTATGGAGTGGAGAGGGGCAAAATGTGTCCCGTTACAGACTAATTAGGTCATTTTCCTTGAAAGTCGGAGTGCATCTGCCTGAGAGGCAAGATCTGGAACACGACCAAACTCAAGTTCTGGAAGATGACCCAAGTCCAGAAGTGGACCAACAAACAAAACTTTCCCTCAGAGGTTACAGCCAGAGAATGCTAAGAAAAAGAAGGAACACTGTGTCCATCTGGAGAAGTTGTATTAACAATTAAGCCTTCAATGTAAAATCCACATATATGAGAATAGTCAATAAATAAGAGTAAACACACTGTTTAATGTTGGGTAAGGGAAAACAAGTATAAAATTAAAGTCTAAACTTCATGTGTATGCAAGCAAACAATGAATTTATGCCAAAACATATTAACACTGGTGGTAAAGGGGGAAGAGGGTATATTAATATATCTACACTGTAAGGAGCAACTAAGTGTGAAGAATTTCATACAATCAATGTAATGAATCACTGTCACCAAATTACTACTTAGAATTATAATGAGAAAAATAAGAAGGGAAATGAGTGAAGAGCAGTGTGGATTTATGGAAGCTAAAGGGACAAGTAATGCAATATACATATTACAAACACTGATAAAAAGATCAATGGACATATAATAGGACAAAGTTAAATATAAAGAGTTGATACAAAGGTTGGAAGACATAAATGTGGAATTAAGAATTGACATTACAGCACTTGGGACACCCCCATAAGCAATTCATTCCCATCTCCAGCAGCAAGGGAAGAGTTAAAATTCCGATGGTACCAGTAACTGTCTGGCTGTATATCCGTCTCGCCTTTCCCCTAAGTTTCGAACGTCGGCCAGACCTCCTTGTAACTCCTCGCAGTGCCATTCTCCTCAGACCGTAATGATATATCTGTTCCTCGGCACTGTTCACTCGCTCCCAAAGGGCCCTCGCAACATCCAGCTTGTCATACATCAGTTCACCCCAAGTGGTGCAAACTGGCCAGTCTATTTCCTGCTCATTTCCCGACACAACAGGCATGACCTGGAGAAAATATCCAAAGGATGCTAACTACCCGGGACCTCTGAAGTGATGCTTGCCACTCTGCATGGAGCATGCCTGTCTTCACCTTTCTCAACACGCTCTGTGAGTCAGTTACAATCACGGCATTTGTGTACAGCTGATTTTCAAGCCAGCGGAAGGCAGCATTGACTAGGGAAGATATAAGTGTAGAAGGGAAAGATCTCAGAATAATTTAAAACATTTACTAGAACCAAAGAGCAGCAATTAAAGTAAGAAACAGATTGGGTACTTTTGAACAGATAAAGCAAGGAGTAAGACAAGGATGTATCTTATCCCAAGACCTTTTCTCTCTATATAGTGAAAACATTTTGAGGGAAATTAAAGAGAATGCAGAAGTAAAAGTTGGAGGATACAATAATATAAACAATTTGCATTATGCAGACGATACAGTTTTGATAGCTTAAAAGGCAAGAGATTTACAACAACTGCTGGATATTGTGGGGATGGAGAGTGCTAAGAAAGGACTTTCATTGAATATTAAGAAAACGGAAGTAATGGTTATATCAAAAAAGAAGATAACTCCATGTTGTGATATCTCAATTGAAGAAAAAAGACTTGACCAAGTCAATAAATCAAATATCTGAGAACAATCATATCATCAGTTGGAAAATGTGTGACAGAGATTAAAAGCAGAATAGGTCAAGCAAAAGCTGCATTTCAGAAAATAAAAAATATATTATGCAACAAATCGCTGTCATTTAATGTCAGAAAGAGGGTGCTAAAATGTTACATAGAAAGTGTCCTCTGTATGGCAGCGAATTTTGAACAAATTTGGAAGAAGTTTGAAGCAACAGATGTGGTTTCTGAGACGAATGTTACGAATACCTTGGACGCCCTGAGTAGCTAACAACGATTGCTTGAAAGATGCTAATGAAAGTAGATCTCTATATACAACAATAAGAAAGAAACAAACACTGTTCTTTGGCCACATTATGAGAAGAGAGACATTGGAGAATATTGTGACAACTGGAGAGATCAGTGGAAAAAGGGGTAGAGGCAGACCAAAGGAAGCGATGCTGGATGGGCTGAAACGATGGCATGGAGGGATATCATCAAATGATATACATTTTTTGGGGGTTACAATATTTCTAACTCCAATAATTGCTACATACACGAAAGTGGTAACAAAATAAGAATTATTGAGCATGTTTTTACCTGGATCGGATTATGTTGTGGAGTTTGTGTTTCAAAAGTGTTGATAGCCCACATGGCAAAGTTGGAAACCAATAAAAACGTGATGAATTCTCGACCAGGTTTTTTCCTTTCCTGAATATAGTATCATCAAGCATGAATTCATATTTTTTTTGATTTCATTAAAAGCAGAAATATCATTTTCATCTGTCCTAGTTGTATCTGAGATGAGCTCAGTTTAAAAAAAAATTAATTGACGTCGCAGAACGAAGGACATTTATTCTGTCCCAAAAGCGTTCTGTTCAAATCTTCAGCAGCCAGCGCAGAATTTAAATTCCGATGTCACGAGTAGCAGTCCGATTGTATGACTATCTTTTTATCTTTTCTTTCCCCTGAGTGTTGAATCTAGTGAGAACTAAGTAAATAGAGACAAGTTAAGGACCCTTTTCCATGCCTTCATGAGTAATGGGCTTATAGGACAACTTTAATTTTTATAGAACAATCTGTACTTGGTGGGTGCTGTAGTCAACAGCACGCTTGCCGCCTTTACTTTCCTGGATTTTACCTTTTGCCCATTTAAGGTTGAGTCTTGACCTAGCAGTCAAGATCATTTGTTTCTTCTTCTTCTTCTTCGCGTTCACCAGCTGTAAACTCTGGCGAAAGGTTCTGGTTGCTCGTCCACTACTGAACTGCAGTCCTGCTCCAGAACCTGAGTGTTGCGTGTGCATCAGTTTTACAGATCTCATTCTCTTGAATACAGACTGTTGGTTCCTTGCCTCTCCTCCAGATGCACTCCGACTTCAAAGGAAGCTCCCCAATTAGTCGACTCTTACGACATGCTTTTTGGGAGGCAGTGGGTCTATTCTTGTTTTCCCCACAATGGGGCCCCGGAACCCACACAGGGGGATCATTGTTTTAAATGTCTGGCTCCGCCAGGATCCGAACCCCCGACCTTCCTCTCCGCAGGCGAGCGTCTAGCCGCTATATTACACCCCCTCTCTTTCTCTCTCTCTCTCTCTCTCTCCCTCCTGAGCCAAATCTATAGTCTTCATAAAAATGAATCTATCTCCACCAAATATGACCAGGAAGCTCAAGCAGGTGGAATGGACAGATATACACATAAAATAAAACCTAAGGCTTCAACCAAAATCTTTATCAGCAAAGTACTAAAAAACAACCAAAATTCTTAATGGAAGATGTCCATTTAGAGTTTGTATTGTTCTTAGTACTCGAATGAAAAAGTCTAAGGTCGAAACGTTTGGTTTTATTTGTGCACATCTTTTCCTTTCCATCCGCTTGAGCTTCCTAGTAAACTTTTATGAGTTTTTGGTTCAATGTTCTGATTGTCTTTCCTTCACAGACAATCCCACAACATTTTAAAACATATATCCTACTAATTTCTATATACCACTGAGACCCTTTGGGATTTGCTGTGGCCTAGCGGCTAGACGCTCGCTGTGGTTCGGAAGGCTGTGAGTTCGCTCCCTGGCGGAGCAGGACGTTTTTCAAAAATGATCTTGGCCCCCAGGATCGACCCAGCCTAGAGTGGGTACCAGGTGCTGTCCTGAGAAGTAAAAGTGGCCAGCGTGATGCTGACCATATTCCCCTTCTTGTGCCGTTGGTCTATAAAATATAGGTCTAGCCCTTTATATCCAATACACCTCAAAGGCGTGGTAAAGGGTCATTTTACTGAGACCCTTCAATTCAAAGGGACTGACCCATGTCAGCTTGGGTAGACAACCAGCAGTCCCTGGGGACCATAGAGTTGTGCCGCTTGTTTTTGGGACTGTAAAGTCTAAAGCAGGAGTGGCACTCTTTGCCACATAGTCCCCATAAAAACGTTGACATTATCGTTCTGAGGATGGTTTTTCTCTCAGACGTCTCGTCTCCTCTCTCTAGCTTGCTGAATTTAGCCACTTTCTAACTGCAGCTGTCTGCCTCCAAAGGGAGTCGGTTTGCAGCTGATCTCTCCTAAGTATCACTTTTTCCTATGTCCAGGCATATTACTTGACTGGCAAACACACAAATAACTATTTCATCAAATAGATACCCTTAAACAGAGTCTTAATTAGCCAAGTTTGTTATAAGGCAGCATCTCTCTAAGTGCTAACTCGAGGACATGACCTAGGAATAAAGCTTATGCAAGCATTCTTATGCTGTCTTTGATGTCAAGAGACGAGACACTATAACCAGCTAATCATAGAAACAGGGCAACAGTCTTTTTAGGATTGCTGATGTGTTGGAAGTGAGCGCCTGTGCAGTGATGTTGGGGATGAAAGTATAATTTTTCTTTTCCTTTTTTAGTAATAGTCACTCATGTGACCCCTGATGTTCATTGGTGGTTGGAGTAATGTCCCTTTGTCACTGTTGTGTAGTTAGTGCATGACAAGGTAGGCCCCAGCAGAGATGTAGAATTGTGTGGTTGTGTGTACACTGTTTGTTCCACTTCGCCCTTTTAGTCACAGTTCACTGGATTAATTTCTGTCTGTAGCATTAAGGTAATCAGAGACTCAGTTCCCATACTGCCATTGTGTGATGTGTTAGGCCTCCACAAGTTTCTAGGCCATGAGATAGCAAATAGGGTGGCCATTTCTGTTCCTCATCGCCTTTCTTTCCTGGCCACATCTAAGTAAACTCTATAAATTGTCACATACCCTTTTGCATTATGCTGGATTGCCGCTATGTTGTACTGGCAGAGGAAAGGGGGGGGGGGGACTTTCTGCTTCTGGGGTTTAAACATAACAACACAATAAAACATGCGAGAGATTGGTCATACACAAACCTGGAATTCATTAGAAGCAGACATCCGGTCTCCAGCCAACATGAAGATCGTCTGCACTGTAGACTGGATCAACATGACGATGTTGGAGAGGATCGTCATCCCGGACCTTGTGTCCGGCTTGCTCAACATGGATGCCACCAGGCTGGTTGACATTAATTTAGGAAGAGTTTAAAATGTAAATCATCTCTTTGTACCAGAAACAAAACACTGTTTGTGATTAAATATCATGTTTAGTTGTAAGATAATGCAAGCTGATTACTTTGTCATGGATAATTTACGTATGGTCTGTTTTTTTTATCATGCGCAATTTACCTATGGTCTGTTTTACTTTATCATGCACAATTTACATGCGGTTTATCTTACTTTATTATGCATAATGCACATATAGACTGTTTTACTTTATCATGCACAATTTACGTATGGTCTGTTTTACTTTATCATGCACAATTTACGTATGGTCTCTTTTACTTTATCGTGCACAATTTACGTAGGGTTTATCTTATTTTATTATGCATAATGCACATATGGACTGTTTTACTTTATCGTGCACAATTTACGTGTTTATCTTATTTTATTATGCATAATGCACATATGGACTGTTTTACTTTATCATGCACAATGTACGTATGGTATGTTTTACTTTATCATGCACAATGTATGTATGGTCTATTTTTACTTTATCATGCACAGTGAATGAATGGTCTATTTTTACTTTATCATGCACAATGTACTTATTGTCTATTTTTATTTATTATGCACAATGTATTTATGGTCTATCTCTCTGAATGTAATTCACTTATGATTAATTTGATGGTGTGGTTTTTGTTCATATGTAGAAATATGTTCTGATATTGTTTTGGACTAAAATATTAAACCCTTTCAGTACCAGGCAACTCATAATACACTCACTGCTTACTATTTATACAGTACACATTTCTTTGCTCTTTCTTTCCTTTTTTCTGTTTTGTTAAAAAATTCTATCTCAACTATCACTTTAACACCTTCTACCCCAAAGCTTAATTTTTCAGTTTAACAAAACTACAGTTGTTGCCAGTCCCGTGTGGTAGATTTTATGAGTATGATGCCAGTCTTCTAAATTCAGCCCCTAATAGCTTCGAGCTGTCAAATCACAAAGTCAAATTGTATTTTTATTTCACTGCTTATGATGTAATGTCACTGGATGCTGCCACATCTCTGTATCATAGCACGCCATGACCATGATTGTCTCTGTATCATAGCATGCCATGACACTGATTGTCCCTGTATCATAGCACGCCATGACCCTGATTGTCTCTGTATCATAGCACGCCATGACACTGATTGTCTCTGTATCATAGCATGCCATGACCCTGATTGTCTCTGTATCATAGCACGCCATGACCCTGATTGTCTCTGTATCATAGCACGCCATGACCCTGATTGTCTCTGTATCATAGCATGCCATGACCCTGATTGTCTCTGTATCATAGCACTCCATGACCCTGATTGTCTCTGTATCATAGCACTCCATGACCCTGATTGTCTCTGTATCATAGCATGCCATGACCCTGATTGTCTCTGTATCATAGCACGCCATGACCCTGATTGTCTCTGTATCATAGCACGCCATGACCCTGATTGTCTCTGTATCATAGCACGCCATGACCCTGATTGTCTCTGTAGCATAGCACGCCATGACCCTGAGTGTCTCTGTATCATAGCACGCCATGACCCTGATTGTCTCTGTATCATAGCATGCCATGACCCTGATTGTCTCTGTATCATAGCACGCCATGACCCTGATTGTCTCTGTATCATAGCACGCCATGACCCTGATTGTTGACACAACGTGAAAAACTTTAAGCTAGACAGTGTTGACGTTACAACTACCCAGGACTGAGAGAGAGAGTTAATAATGTCTTTCTTCCTTGTTTCTTCGATTAGCATGATCTACCTCTACCCATACAGAACAAAAGGTTGTGCTTTGAAACAGAAGGAGCGCCAAAATAAACTTTTTTGCACTTGCCAATATAACCTTTTTTTTGCACAGCTGAAGGCGTATTTGATCATGATGGGTTAAAAAACAATAGCTTCTAGTTATGAATTTACATAATTCAGGCAAAGACAATAAAATGTGTATATTTGTTTGCCTGTTACATACATTGGATTGACATTCGAGTAGTGGCCCCTAGAGTCACTTAATGTCATACTCTATGTCAAGTATCAGAGAGAGAAAAGGAGGGGTGGGGGGGGGGGGGGGGGGGGGGGGGGGGGGGGGGGGGGGGGGGGGAATGCATTAAAACAAAACAAAAATGTCTCCTTGCATTTTCGTTCTCCAGTGGAAGATAGCATACCATGTGAAATTTTAGATAAAATTATGGTTACTGACTATTAAAGTGTATTTAACTGATGCATAGCAAACATTAATTACTGAAGACGAAGTAGCAGCAACGATATGGAGACACTGCCAGCAAAGTCATCAAATATCCGTATTTCCCTGCAACAATTAAGTAAATATACTTTAATATTGCGCTTGCTAACATTTGAGATGGCTCGCCTGGGAGTAAATGGGCACCAACCAGGTCCGGTTTTTCTTTCCCTGCCAAGCAATAGACCTAGCAAGGTGGCAGTGGTGTAATAAATAGCTACGAATAAAAAAGCATGAAATAGTTCAGCGGTCTTATGACAGCAGAATATCTTTGGGAAAAAAGGGGGAGGGGGTGGGAACGGAATACCAAGAAAAAGATGGATGAATGATGTAGCTAAAACAAAGTCAACAAGAAGGGCAACACAAATACAGAAAAGCACGGTACTAAGCTACAACCTGATACCATTAAGACGACAATAGAAAGAAAAAAGAATATATAAGAAATGGTTAGAAGTGTTCATCATAAATATCTACCTGAATATGATAAACACCAGTAGCCCTGTGTATGATATTAGAACAAGAATATCTTCCAGGTCAGCCTCGTGTTGGTTGTGGAAGGTCAAATTCTTCATTCTGTAGGCAGCTAAGAAGGTGGCTATCAAAGTCACTGTGTAGATGGCTGTTTCTGAGAGGTGGGTCAGAATAATCCCCGACAACTGTAATTGAATTTAAAAAAAAAATAATACTGAACATAATTCTTAAAAATACAATTGCAGAAATAATAACATTTATCAAATAATGATCAGCTGAGGACAAATAATGTAAATGTAGAAAAGAATCATTAAATAACATCCACTGGAAGAGAGTGATAGAAGAAACAATGCCAGAAGTTAAGACTGAGTTGAGGATAGATGATTAGTATGAGAAAAACAAACGATGACAAATGTCATGCAGCATTCAAAATGGGACAACAAACCAAAGATAACACAACTCTTGCACAACTGTTTCACTTTACAAGGCAGCAGAAGCGGACACCTGACCTTTGACTCCTCCTTGCTGATGAGCATGTAGAAGGCGATGATTGAGATGATGGTTCCAACCATGATCAGAATGCCCAGGAAGAGACCCCGACTGGATCCAGTACAATCTACACTCATGCGGTGGACTCTCTGTTCATCTTCATCATCCCCAAGCTCAGAACCCCTTGGTCTTCGAGGCCTCTTCCCAACGTTCTTCCACATTATGTACAGAATGCCTGGTTGAAGATAGGAAGGGTGGTAGCATATTGTAATTTGTAATGAAAGACTGTAGTAATTCAAAGAAGATGTTAATGGTTACAAAATGGTAATGATTAGTTAAAGATTTCCATAGATCATGTTAAATGAAATCTTCTACAGCGTTCCGAACCCTTGGGGTTCATTGTTGAAGATATCCTTAATCCTTAATATCACCAATGTGATTGATCTACTCTTTCCACTTGGTCAATGCAAATGTGTGTAGATCTGTCTGAATATTATCCTTCACTGTCTTCTTTGTTTGTCTCACACTCTACCCTCATTCAGACCTTCTGTATACGTATTTTTGTTTTTGTATTTGGGTCTCCCTGATGCCTACCATTCACTTTGAAGATATTATACGAAATGGATCTATTTTTTAAAGAGTCTATACACGGATTTAAAAAAAAAAAAAGCCACTTTAGAAATTTGTGAAAGATGCGTTAGGAAAAATCGTAACCATCCTAATAGACATCTTGTAGAAAACTGGTAATACAAACAAAGAATAAAGCACAAATCGGTTTTACACTGTGTTAATGAAATTCAGGACAGATACCACCTCCCAGAAAGACGTCAAGGAATTCAGAATGTTGCAAGAAACCTACCACCACATGCTAGCTTTAAAGCTCCAGAAGTCCGAACTAAATTGGTAGGCGAGGAAACCAAACAGTCCGACCCAATCGCTCTTATGAACTCATCACTAAAGACCGTTGATTCTTACCCCCAAGAATGGATACATGTCTATACTGATGGATCAGCATTTAAAGCTACTATTAAAGCAGGTTACGGAATCTACATAGGTTATCCCGATGGATCTGTTGAAGAGATTTTTGATGCATGCGGGGAATTCTGTTCAAACTATGAAGCTGAAATAATTGCACTGGAAACAGCAGTATACCACCTAAAGACTGTAATGGACGTTTACCCTTCAAAGGTCCAAAATATTGTCATCTTCACAGATTCAATGTCTGCCCTTCAAGCTCTGGAGGGCAGTGAACGCTGCAGAACTGACATAGCCAAGATAATCCTGGATGCTGATCAGCTTATTACCTCATACAACATCAGAATAGTGATGCAGTGGATTCCAGGTCACTCCAGCACACCAGGTAATGACAGAGCTGACAGATTGGCAAAGAAAGGAGCAACACAAGAACAACCACCTACAGCGACAACCCTCCAGACAGCAAAAACACTGATAAGAGCTATAAACAAAGAGACTTGGTTGAACAGATGGGCCATGGGAGACACTGGAAGAGAGGTTTATAGACATATGTCTGGCCCTGATCCTAATGACAGCATTAACCATCTAACAAGAAGGGACCAGGCCACCATCTTCAGACTTAGAACGCAACATACTCCACTCAATGGACACCTAAACAGAATACAGCCACAACACTCCCCGGAGTGCCAGCTATGTAACTACCCCTACGAAACTGTTGAACACCATCTCTTTGAGTGCCCAAAACTCAGTGAGACAAGAAGAAGGCTACTCCCTCCGAGACCAGACAAGTGGAACACCTTGTACGGAGGAAAAGAACAGCTTGTGAAAACATGCAAATTCCACTACATGGCATTGGGCCAAAGGGCGAAAGCTCATGCGCCGCTGGATCGATAACAACAACAACAACAACAACAACAACATACACGGATTAATAATATCGCATAAACTGACATTTACATGAGATCAGAAATACATTTTGTAAGAGAATTTTCATCGAAAAACAGCATGCGAAGACAGAAGCAGTATGATACTGTGGCATATGTTTATGAATTTAATTCAGACAGAACACTTACAAGTTTGTTCACAGTTCATAATGACCTTTCTTTAAACTTTGAAGACAATAGTTTAAAGACTGAAGATTGTAGATGCAAGTGGGTTTAGCCAGTACAGTTGGTAAAGTAAAGTATCCTCTTCCCGCCATCGTCGCATTTGATTCATGGCAAAAGAAAAGAAAAGGACGCTTTTCCACACTTCAGGTGCATTAAATATATAATTCTAGACCCATATGTTATAAACCAGTCGACATGGTCGGTGATGTATACTGTCTGCCTAACCTCCCAGGACATTACCTGGTACCCATTTAAGGATGGTGCGACCTTTGAGCCACCTAATTTTTGGAGAACATAAAAATCCTACTCCCTTCCGATTTGAGGATATATGGTACTAGACTTATATATGCATATAACAGATCAGTCATCACACGATGAGTGGTATTTTCAACAACAACAAAAAGCGCTCACTGATTTTACTTTCTATTAAATTGCCTGGTGTTAGTTCAGACTTTGTTGACCATGGACCCAGAAAAAAAAAACTATATGTCTATTCGAACCTAAGACTATCGGACTTGCAGGCAGACGCCTAAAGACTGTGCTACCAAGGTTACCAAGCCGGTATAGATGATTTAAATCAACAACGCCACAATTTGCTGTCTCTTTGGGTACGACTGTACTGTTCCATGTTGCCAGGGGCGCCGACACCTCAGAATATAGGTCCACCTTAAGCCCCCCCCCCCAACCCCACCCCAAAAAAAACTAATTAAAAAAAAATGTTTTAGGGGACAACAGTCCACCCCAAATATCTAATGGTCCAAAGCTGTCTCCCCACCTACCATGCATTGTTATCTCCTTTTTAAGTTATTGTGTGTGAATAATATGATTGTATTTCAGTTCTGTTCGTTTATTTATTATTATTATTAATTTCTCAAACGAGGCTTAGGTCCCTGTCGCGTGCGGATGTGCACCAGAACGCACCAGTACTGAGTGAGCAAATAAGACGTCAAAACAATACGTCAGGTTGTGAAGGAATTGTATTCTAGGAGATGAAGTTTGACCAAGGCGGACGTTTGGTCCGGCCTTGGTGTGGATCCTTGAGGACGCTTTACCCCGGGATCCCACGGAAGCAAACGTGGTATAAAGTTGGATCCTTGAGGACGTTTTACCCCGGGACTCCAATATAGACCTCAGCAGGAAGCTGGTAAATTGTCACAGTTCGGCAGTAGGCCGGTATACTTTCATTGCTTAATTCAGACTGCGGAACCGAAGACAAAGATAACTGTCTAGATCTCAAGGTCGGACTGCGACCTATAGTGAGGACATATCAGTCCATGGATGTACAAGCGAGCTTTTGTTGATGTGCTTGAATGAGTCTGGATTATATTATTAATTGCATATTTTCTCCTTGTGTTGATCATCGATATTGTCAATACACAAATGGAACTTTTAAAAGAGTTCTCGTTCCGCTACGTTTGGAAGCTTCAACATTCATCATGTTGTGTTACTCTTGGCCAGTGGCATGTTAAGTGTTGATGCCATTTGTTACATTGCGACGCCCCTAGTCACTTTGGTACGCCGCACATCACCACGCAGCCTTTACAGCACGTTACACTGTACGCCAAGCTCTCGCCCGTCACAATCAAGTTACGCACGTCACACTGTTCGTTTATTTATTATTATTATTAATTTCTCAAACGAGGCTTAGGTCCCCCTATGTTTTCTTTGTGTCGGCTCCTCTGCCTATACGAATAGCTAAAAGACATAATTTTTTTTTAATATGTGCAAATTACCCATTATAACAATGGAAATATCGGTCACTGTTACACATGGGAAGTCGCGAGATTAACTGACAACGTGCTAATTTGCAGGCTGTTTGTTCATAACCCGTTAGCTGGAGGAAATAGGAAATAGTTGACTTGAGGACATCGTCGCCCTAACCATAGGCATGTTGGGCAGTTGCTGGAGCATAGCCACGGCATGTCAATTTTGCTTCATGATGCTGGTTTTCTTGGTGAAGTGGTCAAGCTGTTTGCCTCGATTCATGGACTCCATTGTTGGGTTTAAGAGTGTAGGATTTGTGGAGATCCATGAGGATCATTGCTAGAGTTCTAAAGTTCTTACTTTGTCTGGCCCTCTAAGTAGATCAAGATCCTGTGGATATTTTCTCTAGCTATGTCGGTGTGTCGGAAAATGATCAGACAGATAGACTAGACGGTTATGGTGAATTGATATATGACAAAGATGTTGTGAGGACACCTGTTGCGGGAGCGAGTAAACAGTGCGAAGGCACAAAAAGATCTTAACGGTCTGAGGAAAATGGCGCTGCGAGGAGTTGCCAGGTTATCTGGCTATGCTCAGCACTCAAAAGAAAGGCGAGACGGATATACACTCAGTTTACTGATGCCATGGGAACTGGAACTCCTCGCTTGCTGCTGGAGATGGGGACGGAACGCTTATGGGACTGTCAACGGTGTGATGATGTCGATTCTTTAAAAAAAAACATTCAACATTTTTAGCAGGTTACTAGCAATCTGTGGGGAAGAGGCCGTGTTTAAAAAAAAGGAAAGGTCCCTTTTCCACACCTTTAGGCGTATAGGGCATATAGGGCTAGACCTACATTTTTATAGACCAATCGGCACAATATTGGTGATGTCGGCATCACGCCGGCCGTCTTTACCTCCCGGGACTGCAGCCGGTACCCATTCAAGGCTGGGTCGACCTGGGTGTCAAAGTCATTTCTGAAGAAAGTTCGGCTCCCCCTAGGAGCGAGCTTACAAGCTTCCGATCCGCACGCGAGCGTCTAGCCGCTACGCCACGGAGACTCCCATACTGGATAAAATACAATATTATGAAGAAGATTCTCCTGACTTTAACTCTTTTGACAATTTTCATGTTTAGTTCTGCGACAGGCTGTGTAGAAACGAAAGGTTCGCATAAAGTACAACACTTTATGACTCCTAGAATGGCTCAAAACCTTCTCTTGTAAACTGAGCAATGGACTCAGAAACGGACCTTACATCTTTCAAATCACAAAACAAAACAGCTTAACCTTTTGACTATGTTGAGCACCAATTATTATAGTAAAGTAACCAGTATTTGACAGTGACTTCTTCTTTCTCCTAGTCCCTGTTCTACCGTTCAGGGTCGGAAATGCTAAATACAACATAAAATGTCATTAGAAAGCTCAACGTATTGAATGAAAAAAAAAAAAGATGCACACAAAAACAACCAAACGAGATGACCAAAATCTTTATCAACGGAGTACTAAATACATCACAAACTGTGATTACAAAACTCAACGAGCGAGACAAAAGAGCTAACAATAAAATTAAAAACAAGGTCAACACGAAAACAAGCATGTATGAAATGAGGTAAAAACTATAAATATAATTGTGGAAACTGCCAATAACTGCCTTTATATACAACTTTTTCTGTGTAGGCAGGGAGTCTTTGAGCCTTAGGACTTAGGGCCGCATGACTAGTGCTGTCGCCACAACTGTGCAGGTTATGATTTCACGGTAAGAACGGTTAGAAGGCTGGGCTCGCAAGCTGGAGACCCGGAAAAGAAAAAGAAAAGTCAGCACAAATAAGACGAAAACTAACTCACCTGCACACATGAGGCTGTACTCTATAGTGCAGGGATACAGGTAAGGTCCAGCAGCTTCCACGGCCTTGCCCATCAAGTCTGACCACTGGCAGATGTCGTCCAGGTCCGCCACGCCAGTCTCGCTTTCATTGTGGCTGGACATGTGTTCTTTAAGGCAGGGAATGGTATCAGTATATGTAACTGGGTTCACTCTATATGCTTCTTGAGAGCGGACACAAACACACACACAAATACACATACTCACGCCCGCCCACGAGCGCGCTCACACTCATTCACGCCTGCGCTCGCACATACATACACACACACACACACACTTAAATCTTGGGTGTACTAGTATGAGATAAAAGAGAGAGAGACTTTTAGAGGGGGTGGCCAGGTAATCAGGTGGACACACAGACCAAGGACGCCAACACGAAAGTACTCGGGGCCTTGGAGAGATGGGAGTTGTTTGAAAGGGAAGGAGGAAGGGGAGGCTCAGGTCTGTTATATATTTTCGGTTAGCCCCACGATAGTCCCCCCAGAGCCCGCCCATTTACACACTAGCTCTTTTCTGATAAGCAGTTCCTGAGCCGCGCGTAACATGCATACTGCTGCGGGGATGTCCCGCAATGCCCTTGTTATCGCGTGTTGTATATTTCAACACGCCAGCGTTTTTAACACTACAAAAACATGGACAAACTGGGTCTAACACACAATCCACCACCCCCCCCCCCACGCGCTCCTTCCCCCTAGAGAGTGCTGCAACCTATGTCACAGGCACTCTCTTGCTTTGAAGAAAAATGTAAATGCAAGACAAGCCAGAAAGCAAACAAAGCAACACCCCCCCCCCCCCCAAATCCTTATGAAAAGTAGATCAGTCCAAAAAAGTTATTAATGGAACGTGACCTACTTTCTCTGCGGAGACTAACGTCGAACTAAACTACATTTTCTCGGGGATGGGTGCACTCAAGGTACATGAGCCTTGTTTAACTGTGAGATTATTATAATAATAATTATTAACATCGCATTTATTTTGATGTTGTACTTTATGACCCCCAACAATATTATATTATGTTTGAAGTGGGATGAAATTCACAAATAAACAGTTTAAAAAAAGAACTTTTGCGACTTTTTTTTTTTTTTTTAATTCAAGTTTTATTACATGGTTAAATGGACCACTTTAACGTTTTCCAGAGAGGGGGAGTCAGACTCACGTCATCCCACAAATTATTGCAAAGAGGGCTCCGCCCACGGATTCTGGTGCCCCTGCGACAGAAACTCAAGCAGCAGACATATATTGTAGTAGGTAAAGTGAAGACCATATTCACGTCAGTGCTGTTTTTGGATATATTGTGAATATTCAATCAATCAGGCGTCGTCTCCACAGAGAAGGTTGGCTGCAATGACACGCTCTGTCTCTTGTCCTATTTGTACACTCTCTCAGACTGATGCCCATCCATCTCTTAATGTTGTCCTCGCACGTGTATCTTTGCCTACCTCTTGCTCTTTCGACCTTTCCCTCCAGTATGGTTTAAAAAAGTGTTTTGTGTCTTTTAATGTGGCTAAAGTATTTCAATTGTCTCTTTTTTTTTTTTTTCTTTAAGTAATTCTCTTTTAATTTGTATCCTTCCGAGAACCTCTGCATTGGACTGTTTTTGTTTCCATGAAATACGACCTGTGCCTCCAGTATGGTTTTTAAAACTGTGTTATATCTTTTGAGGCCGCTAGCGAGACTTTGACCATACCATACCATACATAGAGTTCCGATTGGCCTATAAAATATTAGTGTTGCCTTATATATCCAATATTCCTAAAGCTTCCTTTTACTATATGCCCAAAATACCTAAGACATGGAAAATGGTCCTTTTACTATATACTCAATAAGCCTAAGGTGTAGAAAGAATCCTTTTACTATATACTCAATATGCCTAAGGTGTAGAAAGAATCCTTTCACTATATACTCAATATGCCTAAGGTGTAGAAAGAATCCCTTTACTATATACTCAATATGCCTAAGGTGTAGAAAGAATCCTTTTACTATATACTCAATATGCCTAAGGTGTAGAAAGAATCCTTTTACTATATACTCAATATGCCTAAGGTGTAGAAAGAATCCTTTTACTATATACTCAATATGCCTAAGGAGTGGAAAAAAGTATGTTTCTTGGCACCTCTTATACTTATACTCATTGATCTGCCTCGGACATCGTAGTTTTTTTTTTATATTCAAACACGATAATTTATTAAAATATAAAAACATTTAGAACTGCAGAAAAGGATTGTATTATAAAGTTGAGGGGTTTTAGTAACACTAAAGACTCATTAAATTTGTTTCCCAGACCATCAGAGAGGGGAAAATACTAGATTATGTGAATACACAACTTCAATTACTTAGCTACTGACCCTCGTGAAGTCTCCGTCCCAGAATTAAACTTGAGTTGAGCACAAGGTAGGTCGTATCAGGGTGAATGTTTTGTCCAGTGCCCTTAGAGAGTTGAATTTTCTCCGAGGACTTCATGCTGCCGCCTGAATGATGGTTAGCACTATGGGCTTGGCTATGAATGACATGTAAGGTTTCGACAACAATCGCGCGGAACCAAACACAGATGTTCGTGGCACACATGTGCATGAGCCCGAACCTGGCCAGCTTTTTGTACCGGTGTATGCACATCTGAAATTGAAATAAATAAAAAAGTATACCGGTTGTGAAAGTTTGAACTCTTTGGGCCTCAGGCAGTGTTATTTTAACTCCGTGTATCCCAGTGACCTTGTATATTGAAGGAGTTATTGTATGGGATGGGAGAAGTTAGAATAATTGGCTCTTTAGATACAAGGGGCTACTCTTACAGTTCGGTTGAAATGTGTTAATTCAACTATCGTCTTCATTGCTTGTATTTGCCAGTTTTGGGGTGGTGAAGGGTTTGATGGTTTGAACACCGGACTAACATCATGGAACAAGGATAGTAACCTAACCCATAAGTTAGTTCCGTTCTACTTCTAACTCTAGCCTGAGTCCGAAGAATCTTAGCGCAGTGAGCGAACTTTGTAACACCGGCGAGGACCCTAAAATACTATGGGCAGATTTTCAACTCCAAATTTTGCCCGGGCAGCGCCGTTAGGCTTCTCTTTTCGATTTCAACTGTCAGGTGATTTTTTTTTTACGTGAGCAACAATACACACTGGCGTCTGATCTTACTATCCAGAGACCAGGGGAAATTACTAGAAGACCACATGTAAAAATCTCAGCCATCACTTGGGCCTGAACCCGGGATATATAGGACTCGAGGCAGACGCCATGCATCGAGACACTCACCCCCCTGTGGTGAAGGGTGGAGGATGTTTCACAGAGATAAAGAACAGTTGGAGGTTAGGGTAATAATCAATGAATGCTGCAAGACCCAGTTTTAATAAACAGCTGTGAATCCTGGACAGTTAAAACAAGCCAAACAATTTCGTGAGGTCCCAGAAATGTGATTTTACAGAAGAATCTTTAAAATTGTTCAGATAGCAACAATAACAATGATAACAACAAAAAGCAGCTCAGATGTTTCTAAAGTGGGGAGTGCTCGAAGACAGCTTATCACAAGCATCAGAAAGAGACAGTCATAATCGTTTGGTCGGTCATGTTATGACCACTGGACAGATCTGTAGAAAAAGAGACAAAGGAAGGCAAAATGAGACGATTCTTGACAGCCTTTTCTCATGGCACAGAGGGGTGTCACGTCACGAGCTGATGCATGCCGTTTTTTTTTTTAAGAGATATACTCTGCAAGGGATGGATGTCATATGGAAGTAAATATATTACCACATTACCCACTTAGTGCCGACTGGTCTGCAAAGAAAACAAGTGTGTCTCGTAATACAATATGTTTTTATGATTTCTGAATACAGTGTAGACTTTGTCGGTGGACCTGTGTTGGAGTTATATGTTTTTGTTGAGCGAGAGTTGAGTCCGGTAAGACTGACACCATTAAGTGACACCCTAGGGCCTAGGCTTTTGGCAAGTGTCCGAGGCATCATGCTACTTAGTTCTCCTCCAGCCAACTTCGCACGCGTTACTCTGCAGGGCAGCAGGGCTGGGGTGGGGTTAATATATTTGCTGTTTACCTCTATATCTAGAGGCAACTACACCATTCGCAACCAGGTGGCTACGCCTAGTAGTAGGACAGACTCCTACCAAGAAACAATCGTGATGGAGTTTCTTTCCATAACAAAAATATGCACTACACGGAGTTGACAATTTGTATGATGCTAAGAGTATACTGATAAACGCATAGTGCGGTAACCGATACTCATAGAATTATGCTTTAATATCTACTTCAAATCACAAATCAAGAAAATCTAGACAGTATGATAACAAAGAGAAGATGGAAATGACTCAGCCATGTCATGAGAATGAATCCTGATATACCTGCCAAACCAGCTCTCACTTGGACACCAGAGGGAAAGAGAAAAAAAGGGGCGACCAAAAAACAACGTGGAGACAAATGACAGAAAGTGAAATTGCTGCATCTCTGACATGGAAAACTGCACTGAAGATTGCACAGGACAGGAAGACATGGAAAGTTCTCCCTGAAGCCTCACGTGACACTAGGCATACAGAGAACTGACTGATCTGTGGACGTAAAGTCTGCAGCAATGCATCTAGCGAGAAACAGCTTTCTCATTATCTGTTTGATTCTGTTTGACGCTTTGTGGTTATTAGTGCTTTTAATTACCAAGACAGTGGACCGGGGTTTAATATCCAGTTGATATAAGCTTTTCATTCTTTTTTAAAATATATAAATATATTAAATAGCTCATGTGGAACAAGAAGGGTAGCAGGCCAACCAGGCCTGCCTGTTCAATTCTGAACACTGTTAGTAACAAGCACGCTTATCTACCTGTTAACAATTACTCACGATGGTAGTCGTAACAATACAAGAGGGAGTGGAACAGAGAGAGAGGCCACAGGCAAACAGACATGCAATGACACGGACACACGGAGACGATATATAGACAGAATAACACAGTGAAAAAAAAACACGCCGACAGAGAGCTATTGAGTGAAAGAGAGAGAGAGAGTGAGAGAGAGAGAGAGAGAGAGAGAGAGAGAGAGAGAGAGAGAGAGAGAGAGAGAGAGAAAGAGAGAGAGAGAGAGATAGAGAGAGCGAGAAAGAGTGAGACAGAAAGTGAGAAAATTCAAGAAAAAAAAAGAAAGACATAAATAAAAAATTGAAAGAAACAAGAAAGAAAGAAAGACAGACAGACAGACAGACAGACAGACAGACAGACAGACAGACAGACAGACAGACAGACAGACAGACAGACAGACAGACAGACAGACAGACAGACAGACAATAATACGTAGCACCAGAACATTCTCTAGCTTGAGCTGCCTACCTTTGAATTCATGAAGATAAAGTAGAGCTGGAAGAAAGTAAACACCAGATGAATCACGGGCTTGATGGCCTGCAGCGGTTCGTTACATTTTGTTCCAGACGACGAGAAATAGGTTCCGAAGTTGAGGCCGCTGTGGATCATAGAGCCGATCCCGAATCCTTCAGGGAATTGAGACAGAAACAACGATGACGATGATGATAATGATGATAGTGGTGGTGTTGATGGCTGTGATGATGATAATGCTGATAATGGTGGTAGTGATGATTCTTCTTCTTCTTCTTCTTGTGTTCGCTTTCTGATTTACACCGACAGACAGGTTCTTGTGATAAACTTGACTGTTTTAATGAGTTCATTTTTAGTCCCATACAACTTTGTGTACAGTGGTGACTCACTGGGCCAGTATTCCTTTCTTAATGGGCTGAACAAGGGACAGTCTTGCAGGACATGTTCTGTAGTCTGCACACATAGCCCACAAGGGCAAAAAGGTGAACTACTTAGACGAAGCCTGTGCATATGCTGGTTAAGTTTGTTATGTCCTGTCCTGAGACGTAGGACAATGACCTGCCCATGCCGGTCAAGTAAGTGGTAGTTATCTCTGGCCAGACTCTGTTCACTTCTAATAGCCTGGATGGCCCTTTTCTTCTCATAGTATGTTACTGCATTCTCTTCCTTGTCACATTCTGCCCCTTTTTTAGCAAGTTTATCTGCGGTTTCGTTTCCTGATATACCTCAGTGGGATGGCACCCACTGGAGTACAGTACACTTTTGGGCAGCCATCTTGCCAAGTTCAGATCTCAAGTGAGGGAGTTTGCCACTCTTGAGGGCTTGAAGCACTGAAAGCGCATCTGTGAATATAACCACTTGGTGGCAGTCAGAACTGGTGTTGTGTAACATTTCGGCAGCCTGCTCTAGTGCTACAATCTCTGCTGTGTAGTTGGAACAGAATTTATCAGTGGGTATCCACTTTGTGTGGCGGTGGTTGCCTGGGTATGTAATAAAGACTCCAGCACCCCCATTTTTAACCGCACTGGTTGCTGATCCATCTGTGTAAACATGTATCCATGACTGTTCGGGATAGTTTTCATGAATCATGCTAAGAGCAGCTGTTCGTTTTTAAAGATCATTGGACTCATCTCCAGTTGTGAATCCATTGACTGAAGTCATTTTCTGTATTGTATCACTGACTTGCTCCCAAGGTACAGGATATAGGGTAGGTTTCAGCGGTGTTGTTCTAATAGGTAGATCAGCTTGATACTGTCTTCTAAGTCTTTTCCCCCGATTGGACAAAGCTGCTACGTTTGAGACGCCTTAATGCCAGATCATCTAACCTTTTATTCATTGGGTGTGACTGCATACTATTAAACTTCTCCATCTGGATCATAGTTTTAGTGTCTCTTATATAGGACAATGTCTGCATTGCAGTTATTTTCTGCATCTTCAGGATTGGTGCAGTTTTCATGGAGCCTGTGATGAGTCTAAGAGCTTGATTTTGCACTCTGTCTAACGATTGTAGATGGGAATTAGCAGCTGTTGACCATGCTGTTGCACCAAACTCCAAGTGGGGTCTTATCGCTCCATTATAAACTTTCTTTAGGGTTTTTCCATTTGCTCCCCATCCTGTACCTGCCAGTTTTCTAAGTAGGCCTAGTCGTTTTCTATATGTTTGCTCCATGTGAGCCTTTTATCAAATGTTACTCCAAGATAAGTGGGGAAGCTTTCTTCCTTTAGCAAGGATGTTACTAGGCTTTGTCCCTGGTGGAAAGAGAGAAAAGCGTTGTGGATGTTTTGTCTGTGTTGATGGCAACATGCCATTTTTCTGCCCATGTCATCAAGAGATCTGCTGCTCGCTGCATTCTTATATTTGCCACTGTGGTGTGTTCATCGGTACACCAGAGTGCCAGATCATCTGCATACAGGGCAGCTTTTACTCCTGTAGGAAAGTCTTTCACCAGATCATTTATATACACAAGAAAGAGAGTTGGAGAGATAAATCCTCCCTGTGGTACTCCTTGCCGAAGTAACACTTTTCTACTCTGCTGGCCATCAAGACTGACTCTAGTTCTCCTGCTGTGTAAGAAGGATTGGATCAATTTTAGCATGTTTCCTTGGATTCCATTTCTCTTCAGTTTTGCAATGAGAAGGTAGTGATGATGATTATGATAATGTTGACGGTGCTGATGATGATGATGATGGTGATGATGTTGATAATGGTGGTGGTGGCGATGATGACGATGTTGATAATGATAATGTTGAAACATGTAAATTAAAGCCCTATTTTCACGCTAATGACACACTGGACATATAATGCTATAATTTTTACTTCATTGAACAATCAACAATTTGGAGCCGACGTGGTGTAGCGGCTAGATAACGCCTGAGGATCGAAAAGAAATGGGTCCAGGTCTTGATTGAGCTGCATTTTGTGTTTTTTTAAATTAATCCGACCACCAGATTGACCCAGCCTTAAATGGGTACCAAGTAAAGTCCTGGGAAGTAAAGGCGGCCGGCGAGATGCTGACCGCTTGACCCACCAAGTGCCGATTGGCCTATAACCTATAGGTCTAGCCCTATATACCCAAACAAATCTAATGACTGGGAAAAAGGTCCTTTACTTTACTTAATCAACATTCCATAGTTGATACTTTCAACAGCATGCTGGTCACCTTTGCTTGTGTAGTATATTTTGTGGTACCAATTTTATGTGACTAGAAAGCGTCAGTTGAACAAATCCGCCTTGGACATTATCAATGGTTAACCCCTTTTGAATGAACGCGTATAAGATGAAATGCTTAAGGAAAGAAGCCACTTCTACCAGTCAGACATCTATTGTGAAATAAAACCATCAAAAAGATTATGGGAACAGCATCCTGCAAAAATGTCACTGAGACAAAGATGATGAAATAGACTGGTCATCTCGCTAGACTGCAGCCACAGCCACTACCCATACAGAGACTACATCTAAAACACATGTGAGGTAAGAGCAAGATAGCGCACAAAGAGGAAATAAATGGATGGTGTTAAAGACGTTATACATGAACACGGTATGACAACTGTCAGTTATGAATTATGAGAGATTACCTTCACAGCACTCCGGACACATCCATAGGCGCTCAGATTCCCCTCTCAACATATTCATCAACGTCGCGTGGTTAATAGTGCCAGTCATATATTGGTTAACAATACTTCCTGTGCGTCCGGTGTGCTTCTCACGCTTGGCTGTGCCGATCTTGGTCCCAATTCTCGTATTCTTAGCAGTGATGTTGACACCTTGCTTCTGAAATCCTCAGAACGTCCTATTTCTCTAAGGGCAATGACAATGTCTGCGTGATCCATGGACCGGCCATATCCAATTATTGCAGCACCTGCCAGTCTATCAGCTCTTTTATTACCAACAACGCCTGCATACCCGGGGACAAATATGGAGGTAGTTGCACACACAGGAGAGTTTTGCAATGACTCAACCCACTGTCTGCGTAACTTGCCTGCCTCGACCCGCCGAATTATACTCAAAGAGTCACTCAGCACACACACGCGGGAATACTGCTGTGATTCTAGCCCCATGAAAGCTTGTGTCATCCCCATCACCTTCAACGATATGCAGCTGGTAGTCATGGAAAGGGTACCGCTGGCTTCTTGACCTGTCCTGCCTAAAGAGCGAGCTGTAAATGCCCATGCACTCTTATGTCCTCGTATAACGGACCCGTCTGTGAAGATCACCACATCTGTCTCATCTGACTTGTCACCGATAAGCGTCCATACCTTGGCATTAACCGCAGCTGGATTCTGCTACCGAAAACTCCTATCGAGCGTCACGACATAGGAGAATATGAGATTGGGCGCTTTAGACGCTGGTATCCATTCCTCACCTGGATGGATGTCTGTAAGGCTGCAAACCTGCATGATGTCATCCTCTGTCCTACCTAGCCATGATTTGTTCCCTTTAAGCCTACTGCTCTTTTTCTCAAAGAGCATGTGGTGCAAAGGGTGCTTCAGATTTGAGCTTATCTTGAGGTATGCACGAGCCCTCCAGATCTTGATCCTGTAGTTCAATCGAATGCTGGGCGATAAACTCACCATCCCTCGACTTTATGCTTGGCCGTTTGGGTTCTGATCGTCCGTTTTGTTGGGAAAATGAGGGTGGGGCAGACCCCTAACCCTCAATGAGCATGTAATAAAAGGAGACTAATTTGAGATTTGTTGAAATACGATGTGTTGGCTGAGAAGCACAGATATGAACACAATACAAAGTACTGACAGCCTTTTTTTTTCAGGCTAACGACGACGACGAAGAAGAAGAAGAAGAAGAAGAAGGAGAAGAAGAAGAAGAAGAAGAAGAAGAAGAAGAAGAAGAAGAAGAAGAAGAAGAAGAAGAAGAAGAAGAAGAAGAAGAAGAAGAAGAAGAAGAAGAAGAAGAAGAAGAAGAAGGAAGAAGAAGAAGAAGAAGAAGAAGAAGAAAGAAAGAAGAAAGAAAGAAAAGAAAAGAAGAAGAAGAAAGAAAGAAAAAGAAGAAGAAGAAGAAGAAGAAGAAGAAGAAGAAGAAGAAGAAGAAGAAGAAGAAGAAGAAGAAGAAGAAGAAGAAGAAGAAGAAGAAGAAGAAGAAGAAGAAGAAGAAGAAGAAGAAGAAGAAGAAGAAGAAGAAGAAGAAGAAGAAGAAGAAGAAGAAGAAGAAAAGAAGAAAAAGAAGAAGAAGAAGAAGAAGAAGAAGAAGAAGAAGAAGAAGAAGAAGAAGAAGAAGAAGAAGAAGAAGAAGAAGAAGCTTAACGACAATAGTGGAAATTGATGATAATGATAGTATTGGTGATGTTGATCATAATGTTGATGGTGATCATAATTTTGATGATGATAACGATGACTTACCTAGAACTCCCAGCCTCAAATAGAAAGTCCCCGTGTGATGGTTGGACACGTCTAGAGAGATCATTCTCTTCCTCAGCCTGCCCTTGTTGTAGTTATCAGCAGCCGACTTATTCCAAGACCTGCCCCAGGCCCGCGTCCATGACAACGACCGTGACAACGTTCGCGTCAGAAACTCCGTCTTGAGGCGGTTCCGTCGAAGCAAATACGCGTAGACGTACCCCAAGAAAAGAATACTAACCACGTACAGATAGACATAGAAGGCCTGTGAAAGATGTAACAACGTAAAACCATTTCAGTTTGTGCATATGGCTAGAAGACATTTTATATCATCTTCCTAGCGGAGGTTGGCTGCCTGGCTATGAACATTTACTCAGTCAACAATCAAGTGCCGTCTTCGCAGTGAATATTGGCTACAATAGATCTCCAACATGCTGTTTCTTGACTTGGAAGTACACAATCCCAGACTGCTGTTCGTCAGTCTTTTAATATTGGGCTCCCACTTTTAACGTTGTCTACCTGTTGCTCTCTTGCCCTTGTCCATTTACTGTTGCTTTGGGAATATCAGACGACGAGGATTTAATCTCTTCTACTGTTTGCCACTGTTCGAGAGTCACAAGAATTATTTTTTTTTTAAATTAAATCAGAGGCAATGTAACATTGGCACGTCAAGGACTGTGAAACACGTTCATTAACCACAGGGCCATATAATCGGCCTATCAGAAGACATGAGGACATTAATTATCTTCTAATGTAATCAAATTATTATTCCGTACTCATCAACATAATTTATTCATACCCTCTACCTTCACAGAGCAGTTGGATACAACACAGTAGTCTTTCGTGTAGCCGTTATGGGTGTCCTAGTTATAACTTCTAGGATCTTATAAACAGTAGCCTGTAACAGCCACTCTACTGTAAGACAAGTGGCATATGTAACATCCACTCTACAGTAAGACAAGTGAAATATGTAATATCCACTCTGCAGTAAGACAAGTGGAATATGTAACATCCACTCTACTGTAAGACACGTGGAATATGTAACATGCGCTCTACAGTAAGACAAGTGGAATATGTAACAGCCACTCCACAGAAAGACAAGTGGAATATGTAACACCCACTCTACAGTAAGATAAGTGGAATATGTAGCATCCACTCTACTGTAAGACAAGTGGAATATGTAACATCCACTCTACAGTAAGACAAGTGAAATATGTAATATCCACTCTGCAGTAAGACAAGTGGAATATGTAACATCCACTCTACTGTAAGACACGTAGAATATGTAACATCCGCTCTACAGTAAGACAAGTGGAATATGTAACAGCCACTCCACAGAAAGACAAGTGGAATATGTAACATCCACTCTACAGTAAGATAGTGGAATATGTAACATCCACTCTCCTGTAAGACACCTAGAATATGTAACATCCGCTCTACAGTAAGACAAGTGGAATATCAAGGAGAGTAGGCATAACCCATGTAACTTTTTCTTCTTCTTCTTCTTCTTCTTCTTCTTCTTCTTCTTCTTCTTCTTCTTCTTCTTCTTCTTCTTCTTCTTCTTCTTCTTCTTCTTCTTCTTCTTCTTCTTCTTCTTCTTCTTCTTCTTCTTCTTCTTCTTCTTCTTTTTCTTCTTCTTCTTCTTCTTCTTCTTCTTCTTCTTCTTCTTCTTCTTCTTCTTCTTCTACTTCTTTTTCTTCTTCTTTTTCTTCTTCCCTCTTCCCTCATTCCTCTTCACTCTTTTCTCCTCCTTCTTCCCTCTTCTTCTTCTTCTTCTTCTTCTTCTTCTTCTTCTTCTTCTTCTTCTTCTTCTTCTTCTTCTTCTTCTTCTTCTTCTTCTTCTTCTTCTTCTTCTTCTTCTTCTCCTCCTGCCTCTTCCTCCTTCTCCTCCTCCTCATCTAGTTACATCTGCGAAGTTTTGAGGGCTATGTAAAGGTTCTTCTGTGGTCTGTTTCTAATTATCTATGTAAGATCTAATTTCTTTGAGGTATGTCTTGATGCCTTCGTTCTATATTTTGCATGATCTTCCACTTGATATGTGATCATTATGTTTCTCCATCGCTGCTGTCTTGGCAGATAATACCAGAGCATTCTTGCGACGTGTTTAAACCTTTTCATCTTTGCCCTTTTATGTATTCCTGAACTTATTTTAATCTTGTATTCTTCAAATGTTATTCATTTTAATTTGTACTCTCTACCACTTTCTCCAGCAGCTTTTCTGGGATATCGCATCTCTCTTGTTAAGGTTTTCTCCTACTTTGTTGTAGTAAATGTTCATGTTTGACCGTACAGCCTAATGTCGTTTACTACACATGAGATAAGTGGATAGATTCCAACACACGCGATGGGTGGTTAGATTCCTACGCAAGAGATGCGTCTTTATATTCCTTTCTTGTCGCCTTTCCTTCATATAGCCGTACATCATGGTCAAGATTTTGAACAACCCATCCCCTAAAAAAATGATTTCTTTGTACAAATGTTTATAAGGCAAGGATGACCTATGAGCCACACCAGTCGGAAACTGGCCTGCATTGCTTTGGCTATGAGCATGAACCACTGTCTTGGCAGACAAGAACACAAAAATCTATCCCGCCAGTGACCTGTTACTTTACCTTACCACTTTACCTGGCTGGGAGACAAAAAGGCAGACAAACTGCTTGCTTCTGCGCTACTTGCTGGTAAATTGATGCATAACAAGGCAGATGTGGCCAAAGCCAAGGTATCTGGTCGACACTCAGCACTCAAAAGTAAGGCAAGAGGGACATACAATCAACTACTGCTGGTACCCTGGGGACTGGAACTCTGTGCTGGCTGCTGAAGATGGCAGTGGCAAGCCTATGGGAATGCTATCATGACGTTCTCAACCCAGCGCAACTCCACTGTACACTACATGACTGAAGCAAACGCTTACCCCGAATGCCCGATCAAAAGAATCGGCCATGAAGATCTCTGTGATGGGTATCACAGCACCAAGGATGACTACAATGATCCCATACAACCCGCTCAAGATCAGGAAGAGACTCTCTCTGTGAAACACATAGAGAAATATGTGCTTAAATCAGCAGTGGAAATGGACAGACGGACAGACAGACAGACAGACAGACAGACAGACAGACAGAAGGAACGAACGAACACACTTTATTTTCAAAGGGTTACAAATTGGGCACGCAGGCCCGTCTGACATTCGGCCCTTCTAAGCACTCATTTTTCAGAGTACTAATGCCTGTTATCTAAAATGCATGTTATGAATATAATAAAGAAATATACATTATAGAATAATGCATACACACATCATGTGTACACAATCTTAAACACTCACACACACATATATATATACATTCACATTCATATACAGACATACCTAATACATATATACATACATACATAAACGCATCTACATATATACACAAACAGAAAAGACACACATATATATGGACATATATGCACACACACATTTCATACATACACACCTACACATAAATGCATGCATACACATACATACAATCACACATTTACACTCACATGTAAACATACATACACACATACACACACACATACATACATACACACATCAATATATACACCTACATCTTTACACACATACATGCATACTTGCATACATACCTAAATACACACATGTACACCCACATACTTATACATCTACAAATACATACACACATCCACAAACATGCATACATACACACATACACACACCCACAAACATGCCGACACACATTACATACATACACACACATGCTTGCATACATATATACAATCACCCATACAGATACTCACAAACATACATACACTCATGCATACAAACATACTTGCCTACATTATGTACACACACACCCACAACCACACATACTCATACACAATCGCAAATACTTACAACATATATACTTAAATACACACATATACAAACTTAAATATATATTCATATATCCACATGCAAGCATACACACACACATCCACAATCACACACACACCCAGAAAATCCATACATAAACACACACACATACAGATACTTTTGTAAATACATATACATACATAAAACATACCCACATACTTACATACATGCATACTTGCATACATTCAAAAATACACACACGTCCACATACCTACACAGCTACATATACCGACAAACATCCACATACTTACATGAATACACATACACCCATATACTTACACAGCTACATTTACATAGATACATTTCTCATACATATACAGACATACATAATACATGCACCTACATACATATATGCATATATGCATACATCCACATGTATACATACATACATAGACTACATCTACATGCATACACACATCACACATACACTCACATTCTTACTCAAATAACATACTTTCATACATACACACATACATACACACACTCACATACTTACACACATACATACTTACATACTTACCTAAATACACACACATGTATGCATACATACACACACATACATGTATACATACACCTACATCTTTACACACATACATATATACCTAAATACACACACATGCATGCATACACCCATACAATCACCCAAAGAGATACCCACATACATACATCACATGCATACCTGTCTCACACATACTTACCAGATGCATAAATAAATACAGACACATACTTACAAATCTAAATATACCTTCACATATCCACATACATATATACCCACAATGACACAAATGCCCAGATAATACATACATACAAACACACACATAGATACTTTTATACATACACATCTATAATACATACACACATACTCACACACATACATATATTTATAAATAGACATATACCTACATACATCCACACACATACTTACACAGCTACATTTACATACATGACTTCCGGTGTAAACAGCCACAATGGCGGCACGCTTTTTCGTCCGTTGAGGCGAATGGCGCAAATTAACTATTTTCGCTCACGTATAATGTGAAAGTTTCATCGGAATGGGGTCTGAACCGTGCAATGGAGTACATGCACGTGAGTTCAGACTTCCCTCAGGGTGTATTCAACGTCCGATGGCGACTATCTACCAATTCAAAACAACCCGTAGACGGACAAGGAGAACGCGAACAGGCAAGCACGGTGGCGCCTGCAGGAAGCGACTGAAATGTGAGAGACTCAGCTTAAAGTATGTTCGCGTTCTCTACTGGAACTGCGCCTCGTTCAGTCAACGCCGACCATTTTCGAGAAGCTCCTCTACAGCAACGACATTGTTTGTCCTACAGGAAACACACCTCGGTGACGAGATGGTTAAAATTGCGGGCTTCCAATCCTTCTACAATAGACGGCACCTCGGACAGCTCATTCTTGTTCGTGACCACATACTGGGTGTCTGAGGTGGACATGTCTGAGTGGGATAATGACGACCTACAAGTACACGCAGTCAGAGTGATGGGCCCGGCCCAGTTTGTGATTGTCAATGTGTACGCCTGCAATGGAAAGGTGGATACAGCGAAATGGCAGAGTTTGCTCCAGACTGAGGAAAAGAAAGTCCTTTACTGCGGAGATTTCAACGCCAGAGGAAACCAGTGGGGCAATGTAATTACCAATAAACAGGGGAAGACCTGGAGGATGCTCTAGTGTCTGCCGATCTAGTATGCTTGAACGACGGAAAGGTTACCCGAATGGCAACCCGACAAGGGGATTCTGACAGCGTAATTGACCTGGCCCTAGT